TGTGTGCATGTGTATTATAATTCTAGTTGATTTATGCAATATGTTTTTGGTAGTGTGTGAACGTGTTTTTTGCTTGTGTAGTGGACATTTGTATTTTTGTCTGGTATTCTCCTATGTTGACTGGGGGGTATATTTTCTGTTGGGGGTGAAAGAATTTAGGTTTCACCGGTTGTGTTTGAAGGTAAACTAATATTGGATTCTTTAAGAAATTTTAAACAATGAAAAAAAAGATCCCATTCAATAAATATATAAAATAAAGAGGGTATGAAAGAGACTGAAGTCGAGATTACAAAACTTTCTTTGGATTTTGTCAAGAATCTCGAGATATATAGTCAGAGCAGGAAACCAGATATGGCAGCAAAATTCAATGCATGGATTGATGGTAGATTTATAAAAATGAATCAACCTTCCTAATAGCAAAGCTAGCAATTGAATTAATATAATCACTTAACTTCATATCAGTGGAAAAAGTGAGTCAAAGAAGGTGGAATTAGTCGAGCTTCTGAAGGTTAGCATCAGCCATACTGATGGAAGATAAAAATGGTTTATTAAAATGATTAAAAGATAAAATGAGAAGTTTTTAATATATTCATGAATGCTAACAGTAAAACAAGATGAGTTGTAGCCAAATTTACTGCGAACTTTCAAGCTGAAATATAGAGCGTGTCTAACGGCAGTCGGTCTGTAAGAGAAAAATATGTGCAGATTTCGCAGTGCAAGAACAGAGAGAGTGAGAGACAGTGTGTGTGTGTGTGTGTGTGTGTGTGTGTGTGTGTGTGTGTGTGTGTGTGCATGTTCCACAGATTTACAGGAATTCGTTAGTTCTCACTAATTTCGGCAACAATAAGTAAAAGAACAAACAAGTTGCTTGAATATACGACTAGTGTTTCTTTCTTTCGCGACCAAGTAATTTTTTCTCACTGTTTGTGTTTATCTTCGAAATCACCAATTCTCTCGGGTGTCTTCGATTGCATTTGCACCTGCTTTGGAGCGAATCGATAAAGTAATATCAAAGCAAAAATGTTCTACACAGCTTACAATTTCGTGTAAACACATAATACATAAACTCACACACACGTAAACATAACACACATACATACACCCTCCATATATATATATATATATATATATATATATATATATATATATATTATAATATAATATAATATTATATTAATAAAAATCCTAAAATAAAATCAGACAAAAATCATGAAAAATTATGTGATTGTAGAAACCTTGAAGACTGCCCTTTGGAAAATAAATGCCTCATAAAATCCGTGGTATACCAATGCACTATCTCATATATTGAGAGTCCTAACACTGATAGGATATACATTGGGTCAACGAAGAATGAATTTAAAATTAGATGGAGGCAGCGTAAAAGCTCCTTCAATAATATTAGAAGTAGAAATCAGACATCTCTATCCAAATATTTTTGGCATTTAAAAGAAATGAATAAAACACCAAAAGTAAAATGGAAAATAATAAATAGAACAAGAACTTGTAAAACCTGGGATGACCCATGCCCTTTATGCCTACACGAAAAACGACACATTATTAAGTTTCTAAATAATGAAAATTTATTAAACCATAGACATGAGTTAACGGTTTTTTGTCGACATCAACAAAATTTCGCATTAACTAATTAGCATAAAAAAAATCAAATTTCATAGTTTAATAAAGGACTTTATGAAGTTGTCAAAAACAACAACAAATTGTAGTTCGGTGCGAAGCATTTATATATGAAACAGCCCGTTGAAAATAAATAAATAAATAAAATAAAATAAAACAAAATTATCCAGACACTTAACAACATACTATGGTGCCAAAATCTATCTTTCTCTGTGAATGAACAGACGATGCGCATACAAGAAATACATCATTCGCTTTGAAACAGACACCCCACCCTACATCAGCTTGACCTCTCCCTGAAGGTGACTAATATGTGGATAATAATTAATTCTTAGGCCCCTTATCAAAAATGGTCGCTCCAGCCGTTTCCATAGTAACGAATGAACATGCTTATAACGATACATAAAGTTCAAAATTGGTTATTCTTAAATTTTCGCTTGAAGATGAAACAGGGTTTGTTATTTTAATTCAATTTAATTTTAATAATTATGTTGAAGGTTTTCGGCTCTCGTTTTTGAAACGTGAGAACTCTTATGTAGCGAAGGAATCATATTTTTTTTTAAATAATTATATATATATATTAAGACATTTTTATGTTTATACATTCTTTTTTATAGATACACATATTTAAATGCTCTGTTGATAATAACAGTATTAACAACTTTTACCGGCCTGAATGTCCGAGAATTTTTTATAGAAAATATATGTCCTTCGAGAGGAATCGAACCTGTATCCTATACGGCACCGTCATATAGCCTGGCGTGCTTTTACCGATTTCGCTATAGAGGAGCGTTTCGGTTAGCAAGGTCAATTTTATGTTTTTAAACTACAATCTTCCATGATTCTCTCATGGACATTCATATCTGCTCGACGCGTATCCAAATGTAAACAAATGACGTCACACATTATGAAATGGACAAAGCCCGACAATTATTTTAACACATATTTGTTTATATTCTTTTTAGATATTTTTAGATACAAATACTTAAGTAAATGCTCTGTTTATAATAAACAGTATTAACAACATTTACCGGCCTGAATGTCCTAGAAATTTTCATAGAAAAGCACGTCAGGCTATATGACGGTTCCGTATAGGATATAGGTTCGGAGGATGCATATTTTCTATGACAATTTCTCAGACATTCAGGCCGGTACATATTGTTAATACTGTTTATTATAAACAGAGCATTTACTTAAATATTTGTATACATAAAAAAGAATGTATAAGCATAAAAATGTCTTAAACTAATTGTCGGACTTTGTCCATTTCATAATACATATATATATAGTGATACGTCTCACTAATTAACCCATAGATGGGGTACGAATAGGTTGATTCATACCTTTCTCAAGGGTATTTGCAAGTAAGTGAATATAACGAACCCAACTGAAATTGGAACTCTGCTACTCGATTAACAATTCATTGCCGTTATCCATTACATCATCCGTACATCTAAGCTTACAGCGCCTGGTACTGCGAAGCGGTTACCCATCTAGGTACGGACCATACCCGATATTGCTTAACTTTGGTGATCGTACGGAAACAGGTGTTTCAACATGATGTGGGCGTAAGCTTATAAAAAGCATTAAAATTAAACGTAGATCAATTAATGCTTTCAATAAAATCAATGTCGATTCATAACATGCTGTAAAGCGGACATTAATCAATGAATCGATTTATCAATCGGAAACATTTTGATCTTACGAGATTTGAACAACATTTCAATTTATAGAATGAAATTACGTGTCACGTAAAGACGGAGATGGTAGAGTAGGAATTATCAATTATTAATCAACGCAAACCTTTACGGGATTTCTTTGCAGTGAACTGATTTATGAAGTTTGTTGTCTAGATTGACCAGAATGTCATTTTCTGTGCAAATAAGAGTAAAATATCTTAACCACTAAGACTCCATTGCGCTACAAAACTGAGTATTTTTAAAGTTCAATCATGGGAATGAACCTTCCGTGGTACAGTCGGCCAGTATCATGCATATGAGCTGTTGTTCAAAATCATTTGTCTGTTCAACGGATGGCAAGTCTTACGGTTTTCATTGAAAGCCAAGTAATGCGTGCATTAATTGGGAAGGTCAACATAATCAATATCATTGTGATGCACGTCAGCCACACTTTATATCCAGCTCATCAGAACCAATTGTTTACAATTGACTAAGAAAAAGTGATTTACAATCCAGCAATAGGTTTCTGCGCGTTCTCACAGATCAAAGTTCAGAGAACTCAAAAATGTTTCCTCCTTATACTTTTCACTCTTGTTTAGGATGGCTCCTTCATTTCTTCGTATATAGTTTTTAACCGACGTAACATGGCTTCCCTCTGTCTTTTCTACAAGTAATGTTCATGGCAACTTTTCTCGAAAGCTTTTTTTCCGTAGTACCTCGACTGCATGAATTTAATCGTTTTTACTAGATTGCCAATTAGGTCTCATCGTTTTATTGATGAACTATCTAGATGCAATCGACACTTCTATTCAACCAGTTTCCTTTATCGTATGTCTCACTTCCGGATTTCTTTCTTCTTTGCAACCTACAATCTTTATTTAGACACAACGTTAGTTGCTATTTTCCTGAAACTAGTTCCTTTACTGACCTTTCCTTACTGTAACGTCTTGTGTCCTAGTGGCTTTATCGCCTTGCTTGGGATGAAACGATTAGAACAATTACAATAAAACATACAATTCTCTTTCTTTTTCGTTTCTTCTCATAGCCAGAACAGGAATCTGGAAAGTTACAGCTGACTATCAATTAATAGTCACTAAATTTTTATCAAAGTTTCTGAAGATACCTTTTCAGAAAAAAATCTGCCCACATTCTTTAACAGCAGAAATTTACCATTTTTATATTCTTTTGATGATAATGTTTTAAAGAATTGTTAAAAGAATTATTTAAATGTTCTTCACTTTCTCAACATATGCTCACTGTTGGTTAGTGATACTTGATATGGAACCAAGTACAAAATTTATATTCCCGAATCTTCCATGTAGAGCTTGGACAACATCAAAACTATCTTATATCTGATCAACACAATCTCTTTTTTTTTCAATGAAGTCAGTTGAACGCTTCTAATGAATGAAAGAATGAACTTCTTAGGTAATCTAATAGCTTTGTGCTGCGTGCAGATAAAGCTGATTAAAAATTTGCCTTCGAGGACGAAACGCATCGGCGCTAAGATAAGTTTTCCTCTTACGTTTATTCATATTGTCTTTCTGCACATGTACTCTGAAATTTTCATATATATAAATTTTATATATATATATATATATATATATATATATATATATATATATACAAAAAGTATATGATTGGTGTATACGGAATAAATTCCAATAACCAACAATTACTATTCTTAAAAGAGTGCTCAGTACAGAGTAGAGCAGATATAATAGCGTTTATTCTAACGTAATATCAATGAAGAAATAAATTGCATAACATATGTATATTTTTCTTTTCTCCGCGTTATTTTTTTAATTTTAAACTTAATAGAGATTAAATTTAGATTTTAAAATTGGTAATTTTTTTACTTTTAATCTTAATATCAAATTTTACCATATAATTTAATATTTATTGGTTAGAATAAATTCTATTTTAGTATAAGCCTAACTTTAAAGCTCTTAATAGTTATTATAACCTTACTTCGTTGTCAAGGTTTTTGAATTCTCCTATACTTGTGTTTTGATTGGTCATTCTAGATTTTGTAACAGCGTTTTCCCCTTGCGAAAGATCGTTAATTAATTTGAAACTTTTAAAACCATTTATTTTACAGTCAACATCATCACTTGATAAGACACTGGAGGTGTTGAAACAAAATGGCTATTTTTTGTAGTGATTTTATAACATATTTATGTTATAATTTTAAAAATAAATATATATATATATATATATATATATATATATATATATATATATATATATACGTAATTTGCCGCAAACTATGCACACTTCAGGAAAGATAAACTTGTCTTTTCGTAGTTGTAGCAAATTGTGATAAAACTGTTTCCTACTGGCACCCTAAAGGATGTTCTGTATCGTAGAAAACTGACTACACTGACGGCCCTCAAACAAGCAGTAGTACACCGTACTAACAATTGTCTCGTACCTAAAGCTCACTATTCTGAGCATCTCTTGTGATTGTGGCGTCCAAAGGTAACTTGTCTTGTATCTGTACAAGTTATTCCTTTCCTGAAGTATGTATACATTATTTGAGGTAATTTTTAATTTTGTTGTGTAATAATTACCATATATATATATATATATATATATATATATATGTATGTGTGTTGTGTTATGTGTGTGTATTTATGTGCGTGTATGTATATATATGTGTGTGTGTGTGTATACGCACGCGCGTGCGCGCACACACAAACACACACATATACATATATATATATAACTCACAGTTATAAAATATTGATTCGTTTATTACAGCTTATCAATCTTTAGCAACTTATTTAAAGCCAAAAATAATTTTAAACTGTAAGATTATTTGTGATAATAATGATTTCGTGATACTTACTAATTAACCCATAGCTGGGAGTGAAAATAGATGGATTTATACCTTTCTCCAGGTTATTTGCGCGTAACTGAATATACCGAACCCGACTGGAATTAGAACTCGGATCTTCTATGGACAATTCCGAAGCATTATCTGTCACAAAGCCTGCACTTCTAAGCTTACGGAACATGTTCTTTTCAATTAGTTACCCATTTAGGTACTGACCGAGGTCGACATTGCTTAACTTCGGTGATCGTACCAGAACTGTAATGCCTTCTTGAAATCGTTTCATGCCACCTTGTGGTCGCATTATGTCCATCTAAAATAAGTTTTTTGAGTGATGATTTTAAGCTTACACTACTTGGATAATTGACGTAACACAGTCTTCTGACAATCACTTCTCCCCGTTTAACATTGTGCGATTTCAAGATAAAGTTAATATTATTTTTATATTTCTGAATTAATTAAAAGAATTACAATTTCATCGGCTGAATTAACGTTTGAAAATTATTTTAAGATAATGGAAAGAGGTGAAAAGTATCCATCACTGATATTTCATTGGAATCGATTTATTGATTTTATGTCAATTAAAAAAAAAAGAAATATAAAGGTTTCACTTGGTCGCTCAAATCGTTCTTTCATACAATTGCTGTCAATCCACAGACATGACTTTTAAGGCGGACCAAGAAGCTTTTTAAAAATATTAATGTTGTATTCAGAATTTAAAAAGAAGATTAATTGAAAAAGAGCAATTTCGATCTAAGGGTGTAAAGATAATGGTCTCTCTCCAAAACCACAAATGTCATTTCGGTGAGTTGACTTTGACTTCAATACGAAAGTAGAAAGATATATATATATATATATATATATATATATATATATATATATATATATATATATATATATATATATATATATATATATATAAATATATATATATATATATATATAAAATTAAGTAATTCATCGAGTCTAGAAGAAACCTTAACAGAATGCAGAAAGCACTGGACGGCCGTTTCGTCCTATATTTGGGACATCATCAGCAGTGCGCATCCACTACCGAGAATTGAAATTGTGTGAGCGAGTCGCGCTATATCGAGTCTTGTTCGCTACCTCTTCGTCACTGAGACCCGTTGGAACAGTCGGTATGACGTTTGCCTGATAACGTAACTGCCTAGGTTTCACATCTCGGTAGTATAAAACATTTGGACAGTTCTTAAACACTCTCTGTCCAGAAAAGAAAGCTCTTGTTCCAACACAGGAAAAATTAAATAAAAAGCTTAACCATAGTAACTTGTCTGTCGTTTTAAAGGAAACATACTTAAATGAAAGATTGCTGCTAAATATATAACTATATATATAAGTAGTAAACCCTAAAGAGCCAGACAAACCTACCTACGTTTCATCTAGGGCCGATCGTCAGGGCCAGTCCGCCCTGACGATCCGCGTAGATGAAACCTAAATAGTTTGTCAGGCTATTTAGGTTTACTTTGCTTTATTGTTTCTACTTAGCGTATTGAGCACTTTGCTTAGTTATTTTACTTTACTCGTATCGGAGGTTTTCTTTTCTTTGGACTCTGAACATAGATTCTAGACGATTATTTCGCCGGAAATACATGTTCTTAGTTCTTTCTTTTTTTACCCTTGTTTTTTACCTTGGGTATTGGTGTGTTGATTTACAAGCTAAAACACCTAAGGTTTTGCCGGACGTGTATAACTGCTTACATTTATAAGATTATTAGTGTAACTATATATATATATATATATATATATATATAATACACACAATAAAATCCTAAATCACTCATATGAGGAATGATCTTATTTCGATCGACGAAAAAATAGAATTCGTCAGTCTTATTCAACCCCATTATAGACTGAGTCCGTGTCGGAATTAGATATGTAATTTTAGTTAAATTTCTTGTTCCGACAGTCTATACCGGTATAATTAGAAATGTAACTGTATTTAAATTTCTTATTCAGACTTATCTTCCCTGATGCCCCGACTACTTGAATTTAAGCGTGCAACCAGATTGGCATCTAGTTTAACCCTTTTACTGTTGAAATAGTTAAATGCAACCATCACTTCTACTCAATAGTTTCTTTTCTCGCGCTTCCTGACAGTGAAACTCCCTTCCTCTTACGTGTTTGCCTGATAACTACAATCATCAAAAATTTAAATGCAATCGCCATCTTCTGTTGCCTTGATGTCCGTTCTGCATTTATCTTTTGGTCAATCCCCCGCTTATACCCAGTCCTTTTTTCTCACTTTCACACTCTGTAAACCACCGCCTGATAGTAGTACTCCTGTCTTGCTTGAGGAGTAATGCTTAAAAAATCAGGTTTTAATTAAGAATAACGAGGAACGGTCTGTGAATTTTGATATTTTAAAGGTCTTTGGCAAGACGTGGCATGCTGGACTCTACACAAATTATCGTATTTGACTTAGTCTATTCGTTCTTAACAAATCGGGTATGAAAGGTCGCGTTGAACCGTCACGTTTATCGATCATTTCCTCATTAATGTGATGATCCCCAGGACGTTATCCTTGGAGTTTCGTTGTTTCTTATCTTCATCAACGACTTTATCAGTCCCCAACTCGATATTTATGCAGATGACACAACTATTTACTCCTGTCTTATTAATAAATCGGGTAGGGCCGTCAAAGAAAAAAAAAACTGCAGGTACTCTCAAAAATGTTCGCCAATAATTTGGTAACTAGGACATGGAATGTCTTTCAAACAGAAACTGCTAGCCTTTAATCACTAAAAATAACCACTTTAACCTCGGTCAGCATGGCTGATGCTAACCTCTAGGAAAGCAATTTATTCCAACTTCTTGGTTTCACGTTTTCTACTGACAAGAAGTGGAGCAATTTGATCATTTGCTTGTTCTGAGGCACGATGGAGTAATGGATAGCGTCTCAGAGAGAAATGGCAACCTACTGCAGGAAAAAATCAGCCTTGTCAGTCATGTATCGAAAGATATATGATCGCCTATATTCGTATCACATAACTGGCTGACTGCTCATTGTATCGTCTCGTAATAATATATGTACCATTCACCCGTGCATTGCATTAAATACTGCTGGCATATATAATCCGAGGTATATATCCAGAGATTACCGATAAAATCAAAAAGCGAGTCTGTAGTCTTTTTTTTCGATCAAGACCTGGAATCTCGACTTCAGTCACTTTACCAATGTCTCTGTCTTTTCTATAATTATTTTCATGGCAATTGTTCTAATGAGTTTTCGTCATTGGTACCTCGAACGCGTGAAATTAAGCAGATTATCATACATTCTTAATATGTATAATGAAAGTTGTCCTTTTTGTAACTGTAAGATCACGTTCTCATATAGGCATTTACAAGTAGATATTTATCCATAATTTGGGAGTTATGTGCTAGTTACATAGTCAATTAACAGTTTTAGCATGTTTTTTTTACATTAGTGCTTGTATGAGTAATGTGTTTTTTATCTTTAATACTTAGAGATGAAAATTTGCAGCCCAACAAAGAGACGCAATATATATATATATATATATATATATATATATATGGACAAAGTTCGACATTTATTTTAAGAATATATATATATATATATATTGTGTATATTTAGACAGCATTTTTTCACTGATTCATGTTTTGTTAAATAATATAGAGAAGTTTTGTCTATTTATTTTATGCAAATTCTTTTCATATCGTCTGATAAGCTAAATTACATTATTATTGAAAGGCGAAAGAATATCACAATATTGATACATTTTTAATCCTATCTAAACTTTCAGCTTACATAAGCCATCATCGATGACAATAACATTACATTACACGGACATGGCAATAGTTATAGTCTGTTTTTGTTTGAATGGAAGATTTCCAAGCAACGACAAACTCGTGCATACCAGACGCTGGAAGCGAAAATCGCACCATGGCTCGTGACGTCACACATGATCACGCGAGAGTGAAATAATCACAATGCAGTGCTGATTCCTTTTACTTTACTGTCAATATCACCTCAAGTGTTCATCAGATATGTCTGCTTCACGCTTTCAGTGGTCTTCACTTGGTCTGAAGATCGATGAGACAGACATCTGAGTCGCCATGCTGTATTTGTCTAAAACTATGCTCAGCTAATCACAGCCTTCGATTTGTTCAGTTAAGTACGTCAGTGCTGTCTTCCCAACCATAATATTTTTACAATACTTTATTTTCAACGTGTGTAGTTTATAGATGAACAGATTTCACATTTAATTAAACATACAATAAACGAATCGATAAATATTTGTGCTGTGAGAACACCTGCTTGGGAAAATATTTTTCCTTTGGAATTGAAAATAGTTGTGATAAGTTATTGATTACGAGTTAAAGAATTTAGTTGTTTTATTTTTTTGTCTTTTTTTGTTGTTGTTGTTTTTTTTTAAATAGATTATTAGAACCAGAAATATAAATGTAACATTTAAAAAATTCAATTCACCTATAAAATTCAGTTAAGAAAAATTTGCCATGTCTTATTCTTTCCTTTGTTTCAGTGGAGAGCAAATAACCCAATGTGCGCATGCGTTGTTTTTTTTGTTGTTTTTTCTTTTCGTTTTTTGTTTTTTTTGTTTTTTATTTTTTTTTTTTCTTGTGTTGGTTTTTTTTCAGGAAGCAGACTAAAGTAAGCGTTATGAGAGCGTCTTTCTGTGCCTTCTTGCTCTCACTTCTTCCATTGATCTGAGGTGAAACAATTACATTCAATGAAAGCTTCAACCGCAAGGAAAACTGGTTCTCTGTTTCGCACCAGAAGATTTTTTTTTGCCTGAATCCATCCATCAAATCTACAAATCAACTATTCGTCCTTGCATTGAATACTTCTGCCATGTATGTTGTGGTGCCCCGCTATTCATCTCGAGGTCCTCAACAAAATCCATAGAGGGATATGCAATATGGTTGGTCCTGACCTGGCATCTCGTCTACAGTCACATTCTCCAAGACGTTATGTAGCTTCCCTCTATCTTTTCTACAGATATTTTCATCGCAACTGCTCTGACGAGCTAATTTCACTGGTACCGAAACTGGATGAATTTAAGCATGCTACTAGTTTGGTATCTGGATCTGTTAAAACTTGACTAATGTATGGAATAATAATGCAACACAAAATGTACTTAGAACAAAATGTATTGAAACAGGAAAGTGTACACAATATTTACATATAGTCTTTTGTATATTCCTGGTAAGACCTTCCTGGAGAATGTGTTGACTTAGTCGCAGTCGGGCAGAGTCTCTGGTTGAATCTCTTGATTCCTTCCTCTCTTCCCGGTACCAACCATATTTATATGGTCGGTACTCCACTATGCAAATTAGGTGGATCCTACCACAACAGGATCCCACCCTTTCACTCGAAACAGTTAAATGTAAGCCCCCCTTCTACTCCAAGAGCTTATTCTCTCGCACTTCCCGACAGTGGAACTCCCTCCCTCTTACTTGCTTCCCTGATAGCAATAAACTTCAGATATCCAGATATAATGTCAATCGACGTCTTCCGATGCCTTGATCTTGATTTCCGTCCTTCTCTTTACCCTTTTCCCAAACGCTCCTCTTTACTCTTGCTCTCACAATCTGTAACCCTTGGCGTGCGACTGGCACTTCCGCCTTCCTTGGGGTGATATGCTTAGAAAAAATAATATTAACAGTCTAACAGTAGCAGAATGTGTTTGGCATTGTCCGGGGTAGGATTGGAAGATGGGAACAAGAGTTTGGAACACAAAACTTGCTCTATTTCCCACTTTGTATGCCTTGTACCTTACTTAATGAAATCCTCGGTCAGATTTACTAAATGTATCAGGGAAACAAGATTGATTGAACTGATGACATGCGAAGAGGATGAGGAGGGAAAAAGAGAAACGGAGAAAGAATCCAATTGAGACGGAAATGAGAGAAAACGTGAGGCGGGGGAAAATTTTAGAACGGAGGATGATGAAAGAAAAAAATAAAGAAAGAAAGAAGCAAACTGAAAGAAAGATTAAAGAAAAGCACAAGGGGAGAAAGAAACCAATCTAGAATGAGATGAGAGAAAGGATAGACTGAGAAAGGAAGAAAAAATAGTTCAATTTTTATCAAGAGAAAACAATTTACTAAAACAAATATGTATAGAAAATGCTTTTAATCATCCACGTTAAATTTACATCAAGATTTTTACATTTCACCTTTTTTGGCAACTTTTCTATGATCCCAATGTGGGATATTTGATAACGAACGTGATAAAAATAGGAACATAAAAGAAACTAAATGAAATCGTTTAAACTATATATCAAAACACATATTTGAAAAAAATAATACTTAAATTTCAGTGGCCCCTCTTCATGCTGATGTCATTTTCTTCGGTAATCACATCAACCAACCAATTCTGCCTCTGGATCTTCTTGCTTATTTGGAGAATAACTCTTTAATAACAATTCAAACACATACATTGGTTACTCTACCATTACATTATCAAGTCCTTCTTCCACTAGAAAACTGGTGGCACATAATAGAAAAGTAAAAAGGGAATCCGAAAAAAGGAAGGATCTCTTTGGAACCATATCACTTTACTAAGAGGAAGTAAAACGAGTACATCACAGCATTAGATAGATAGATAGATAGATAGATAGATAGATAGATTGTATAGAAGAGAATATGAACAGCAAAGAGATATTTTATGAATTTATATCCTCAATGCATTAATTTCTGACCGTAATGACAATGATCATAATTTTGATTTAAAAATGTTACTCTTATTAAAAGAGAAATCAATATACTAAAACGAATATATATAGAAAATGTTTTTAATCGTCCACGTTAAATTAGCATCAAGATTTTTACATTACACCTTTTTTGGCAGCTTTTCTATGATCCCAATGTGAGATATTTGATAACAAACGTGATAAAAATATGAACATAAATGATACTAAATGAAATCGTTTAAACTATATACTAAAACACATATTTGAAAAAAATAATACTTAAATTTCAGCGTCCCCTCTTCTTCATGCTGATGTCATTTTCTTCGGTAATCACATCAACCAACCAATTCTGCCTCTGGATCTTCTTGCTTATTTGGAGAATAACTCTTTAATAGCAATTCAAACACATACATTGGTTACATTACCATTGCATTATCACGCCGTTCATCCGATATAATTTCAATTAAACTGCATACTATGAACCAAAACAAAAACAAAATCAAGAGGTTTGAGAAATTCTTATCAATCACACAAAAGTACTTTATAAATTATAAATACTGTATAATATAAACAGTAAAAAACGACTAGAAATGCTAGCAGATTCAAGCATTTCAACCAACTCAACATGAAGAAAATTTAGAACAAGCATATTAAAAATATTTCATAGCTAAATAGAAAACGTGCCGGCAACATGAGTTGACGCGTGAAGACGGGTGCTTTAAAACCCGATATTATATCTGAAAAGATGACATTTGTAGCACAAAACTAAATTTAGATAATGGCTAATGCGAAATATTGGATAATGTTTACTAAAATTCTCGCCAGAAACCAGGATAATGGACTGAAATATAGGAAAAATAAAATTTGAATGCTGCACGAGAAAATGTCGTATGTTGGTGATCAGTAATTTTGTGAGTCAGCAGGTCATGTGACTAATTCACAACAGTTAGAGAAAACTTTTGTTGGTGAGAATTTTCAAATTCCTCAAATAACTAACAACGCATATATTCGGGGAGTGTCGATTAGTTCTCTGTCCAATCCACTTACAGAATCAATATTTTAATGAGTAAACCCCAGAATACAAATCTCGGTAAGTGGGTTAGGTCGATATCTTTTCAGCACCCCTTTGTACACATTACCTGCACCCTCAAAACATTCATAATATGTTTAATGAAAGTTGTCCTTTTTGTAACTGTAAGATCACGTTCTCATATAGGCATTTACAAGTAGATATTTATACATAATTTGGGAATCATGTGCTAGTTACATAGTCAATTAACAGTTTTATCGTGTTTTTTTTTATATTTACATTAGTGCTTGAATAATGTGTTTTTATCTTTAATACTTAGAGATAAAAATTTGCGGCCCAACAAAGAGACGCATATATATATATATATATATATATATGGACAATGTCAGACAATTATTTTAAGAACTTTTTATATTTATACGTTCTTTTTATAAATACAAATATTTATTCTGTTTATAATAAAAAGATTTAACGACATTTACCGGCTTGAATGGCCGAGAAATTTTCATAGAAAATATGCGTCCCCCGACAGGAATCGAACCTGTACCCTATACGGAAGGGCCATGTTACCTGAGGTGCCTTTAATCGATTGAGCTACGGATGACAGATCCATTAAGAAAGCCGATTTTACTGCTTTTAAACTATAATTTTCCATGAATCTCTCACGTGCATACATATCTGCTCAAAACGTATCCAAATGGAAATAAACGACGTCACACATTATGAGATGGACAATCATTTTTTTATGTTTATACATTCTTTTTATATAAAAAATGTCTTTAATTAATAGCCAAAATATACGCAATACATATATATATATATATATATATATATATATATATATATATGAAATGGACTAAGTCCAATAATTATTTAATATATTTTCTTTATATTTTATTTCATTAAAATAACATATAAATATATATTCATCTATATATATCTATATATATATATATATATATATATCTATATATATATATATATATATATATATATATATATATATATATATATATATATATATTTATATATTTAGGCTGCTTCCTTCTTTTATGCACATTTCATTGAAAACGACTGACAAGCTGCTTTATTTAGTTTTTTATACAATTTCTCATGTCTTAAATTAATTGCCAAAATATATGCATATATATATATATATATATATATATATATATATATATATATATAGATAGATAGATAGATAGATAGATAGATAGATAGATATGAAATGTAGTAAGTCCAACCATTATTTAATATATTTTCTGTTCATATCTGCTTATTGCATCTAGTAAAATAACATATAAATAGATTATATATATCTATATCTATCTATCTATATATACACACACACACACACACACACACATATATATATATATATATATATATATATATATATATATATATATATATATATAAGCAAATGTAAATGGATATAGATACGACAGAATGAAGAAAAATTTGGAAAAAACAAAATTGCATTTAGGATTTTTTGTTTGTTTTTTTCCAAATTTTTCTTCATCTATATATATATATATATATATATATATATATATATATATTGTGTATTTAGGCAGCAATCTTGTTTTGCTTTTATATATATATATATATATATATATTCTTTTTATTAAGCTTTCTTTTTGGTCGCCTTACACGTTTTCTGTTGGTTGTACCAACACATTGAATATCAAAATTAGCATCTCTCTCTCTCTCTCTCTCTCTCTCTCTCTCTCTCTCTCTCTCTCTCTCTTTCTCTCCCCCACATACACACATTCTCCTTTATTTTCCCACTCCCAGGATTTTTTTTTTATTTCTTCTCTCTTTACGCCATGATTCTATCGACATCGTTTCGGTGCAAGATCAAAAGTATGCAACGCCAAGTGTGGATCAAATTCAGCTTGGAAAAAAAAAATTGTCTTCTTTTATTTAGTCAATTTAGTTACGTTTTAGGTAACAAGTGTAGGCCACTCATTGAGAAGCGAACTCTTTCTTCACTTAAAATAGCTTTCATAATGGCTTGAATCCATCCTCCCTAAAATGCTGGGCTTACAGCTTACCAACCATTTCTCTACGACGTAGCATCTTTCGCTGAATTTTATTGTTCCTTTTTGGAATTAAGATTATTAGACAAAGCGTGACATAACAAAACATAATTATGTACAATAAATTCTTTTGCGTTTCTTGCTTTCCTGTATATTGGAAAGACTTTTCTCTTGTTCCAATTGTTAAGAACTCAGGCGAACCGCCTGTTAGCCTTCTAACTCTTTTGGAGGATAGAGAAAAAATTGTCCATTTTATCTTTATGTCGAAAAAATTATCTCTTCTTCTTCTTCTTCATGGCGTAACAATCCGGACATCGATGGTCATGGCTCTCCACTATTCATTGTCCTTTGTAGATCGTAATTCTGTCTTTTTCTTATCTCTCCTAAAACCTGTTCTACCATTCATTTCCTCAAGCTTACTAGATAGGTTATGCGCTGTTTTTTCTCCGTCACACTTGTCCTCAATTTTTCTTTTGTGTATTAGATTTTCCAAGCCCACTTTCCTCATTATGTGTCCTAGAAATTTCGACTCTCTCTTTCTCACCTAATCTAAAACGCCAAAATATTACTTTTCTAAACAGAGGCCGCGACTTATGGCCCATACATTGACCAATAGAAATCTACTTATATATTCTTATTCTCAAGATTGACTAAGAAGTAACAGTTTATTTTTATGGCTATAGTTCCGGAAAGGAAGGGAGTTGTAGGAGTAAAATTTGGTCATGCGGTCAATCACGCATTCGCTTCCTCAATCAATCAACGTATGTTGTATGTCAGTCAAGAGATGTTTTCTTAAGAATTTCAATATAGCGGAACATCGCACAGGAAGAAGTGGATACTTGTCTTCCAAAGTTAGAAATGCTAAAAGTTAGAGTCTGCCGAAATTCGAGCTGGGACTTCCAACCCGTTCCATTTTTCCGTGTGCCGTATCCTTTTGTGTGGGTGATCACGGTTCTCCACAATTTCTTGTCCTTTGTAGCTCTTAGTATTGCTTCCTTTTCGCTATCTCTCCTAATCCACGTTTTGCCAATCGTTACAAAATTTTAAAGGCAAGTTACGCTTACTTTCCTCTGTCCCCTATGTCTTTAATATGCCTTGTCTGTATCATATTTTCTAAGCCATCTTTTCTCATTATGTGCCCTAGAAATTTCAGTTGTCTCTGATATTAAATATGTGTCCATTTTGTTTCAATTTTCTCTAAAACTTAATCATTTCTCACATGTTTATTTCATGTGATTCTCAGCATCCTTCTGTAGAATACGATTCTGTTGCCTCAATTTATTTCTTCATCTGTGATATTTTCTTAAAATTCACTGTCATATAGACGGATTGATATTACATGATAGTTTAGTAGGTTTTTTTTTCTTTTTTTCTAACGAGATTATCCTGTTTCTTAACACATTTTGCTTAGTTTTAGGAAGGCATCTTTCCTTTTCCCAATGCGCCGTCGGATTTTGCTGTTGCATTTTCCGTCCTCTATTAAAACACTTCGGTGATATTTAAATTTTTGTACTTGCTTTATTTTGGCAACTCCAATTTGCAATTCTTATAATGGAATCTTCTTTTTGCTGACAACCATAGATTCTTTCAACTTACAATTGATCCTTAATCCTTTCTCCTCGCTTTTTGATCTGAAATTTTACCAATATTATGTGATAAATCGGATGAATGTTGACCACCAACTGAAATGAATTAGCAAAGTGGATGATTACGTTAAAAATAGATAGCTATTGTCTTATAGAGAAGTTTTCATATTTAGTACAAGCACATAACTCTGTGTGTGTGTGTGTGTGTGTGTGTGTGTGCGTGAACGCTTTCATTTAAATTGCTAGATGTCTCACCTACGTACTTACGATATTTTTACAGACTATTTTGTAAATTCCTGCTCTTAAAATGTTATTATGTTGTTTTGTGTTAATTAAATATTGTTTTTTTTTAAGTATTAATGAGAAATTTTATATTAAGTTTCCATAAATTCTTTTCAGTTGTAGCAATTACTGAGACTGTGTGTAGCATTATGAAGGTTGTGGGCGATATTCTCTTTATAAACAATGCTCATAGCTTACGGCTTTCTCCGTGACTTTTCATGTGGATACTTAGATGTTGATGGTATTGTTTCGCAATCCTCAGGCTTTAAGAATAACGAAATAGTCAGTGTTAGTTTATAAAACTAACATGTTTCGCTTTTATTAAAGCTTCATCAGAGAATGACACATGGAGAAAAAGAGAAAAAGAGAAAAAATCTGATATTTTTATTTTTTCAGTGGTTAAGTAGACTTTGCCTGTATTTGTCTTGTCAAGCAGCGTTTGTGTGTATAAGTCATGATGTGTGTAAGTGTATCATAATTCTAGTTTTGCCTATAGGATTCGGATAATTTATATTCGTTTGTGTATGTGTGTAGTAGTAGTAGCAGTAGTATTACTAGTAGTAATAGTAGTAGACACATTTCTTTATGTTTGATAGTTGTCCGCATATTTTTAGGGATGTTTTGTGTGAGGGACAAAAATTTACGTAATTCCAGTTGTAGTAGTAGTAGTTATAAACATCTTTCTTTTATCTCGTGACCATATGTACTTCGTGACCCGAACGGCCGTAGGAGCACTATGTGTAGTGCAGCCACAGTAGAAGTTGTGTTTCTTGAATAAGATAGCCTAACTGAGCTCAATCCTTTCCAGGCCAGTTTTGAATTCAGAGTGTTTCCTTCTCCTAGGCCGGTTGCCACCCAAGGTTATAGAACCAGGTCTATCCTGGTATTTACCCATAGCTGGGGGGAGAAGAAGAAGATTAAGAAGGGTATTCACACTTAAGTGAATGTTATGGATCTGACTGGAATTCGAACTCGGCTCTCCGATTCCTCAATCCAAGCCGTGCCTTTGCTAATAACTTGCCTCCCCGTAGGAGAATCGAACCCCTGCGTGACAGGTAAGGAATCTTACCACTATACATATCTTCTTTAAATATGAATTTTTAAAGTTGATGCAATAAGGTAGGTCATTCTTATGTCCGCAGATGCAGCCTTCTAGATTTCTATATGTTTCTTCTATGTAACTATTTCTACACTGCATTAATTAATCCCGGCATCGAGATGTGATCTATTTTTCTACCTAACTATGTCTACTATTGTCGTGGAGGTCGTAATAAAGGTGTGTGTGTGTGTGTGTGTGTGTGTGTGTGTGTGTGTGTGTGTGATGGATTATATTTTCAGTGGCTTCTTACTTTTCATCGTTGGTGATAATGCTACCTTGGAACTGTTCAGTAACATGTCTACTCTTCAATGGTAAGCAGAAAGCAAATCTTTGATTAAGTTAAGAATCAATCAGATGGTGATAGACAAAATAATCAAGTTTAGACGCATTTCGAAACTGGTCAAAACATTGTTGTTATCCAGGATACTTAAAGCTTCATTTACAGAAGAAAAAAAAACTAATATTTCATGCGTCTTCGTCGATTCAATTTGGGTTTAGTTTATTTTTGGTTGTTTTGTTTTACGGCATATCAACCTCAATAGGTTATTTAATGCCGACATGATTTTTATTTGCTAATATTTTTTCTTCAAAAATTTTTTGCTGGTTTAATTTTTTTGTTTTATTAAAACTTATTTTTCAACATCAATAGGTTTTGGCCTCTTTTTTTTTTTTTTTTTTTTTTTTTTGTTGGGGGGTTAATATTTTTTCTTAAAAAATTCATTGCCTCTTTTTTCTTTTTTTTTTTAAAAAAGTATTGGAATTTATTTAAAACTTACCTTTTTCCACAATTGATAGTGTTTTCAGACGATTTTTTTTTTTTTAAGAAACAGATGGGACTTAAGTAACAAGTTCACTAATTCATTCATCACTTTGAATCTATCTATGAATTTTTTTTCAATCTTTTTTTTTACTAAAAAGAATTAAAATCTAGTCTATAGCTGGTTTTTAAACGTTGTTTTTGACGTTTTTATTCGTATTGTTTATTTCAGTAAAAACGTATATAAAAATGTATATCCCCACCAATTATTTTAATCGAAAAAGGGTTTTGGTAATTTTTCTATAAGAATTTTTTTTATTTCATTTTAAGAAGTTTAGTTACTATGACTTAACAGTTGCTACCAGAGTCAGAGTTGACCTGGGAACAACACAATTCTAAGAAATGGTTCAGACGAATCAAAAACCTATGAATTGAAAATTGCTGCCCTGTTTTTCAAACCCAAGGTTTAAGTATTAGAAAGACATAAAATTGAAACAAGACAGGATTTCTTTTTCAACAATAAACCTATAACCGTCTATATCTGGCATTTTTAAAACAGTTGTTTTTTTGACATGGCGCAGCGGTTTTTATTGCACTGGCAACCATTGGGTTTATTGTTTATTTTGTTTTCAGTATCAAAAACGTTAATTAATATATAAAATTGTATGAATATATATTCTTACGTTTAGAAGGTTTGGTTTATTTCGTTTTACACCATATCAAAAGTTTTTGATGCTGGTTTTGGTAATTTTTTGTTTTATAAAAATTTGTTTTTTTAATATTTTCATTCAAAATTGTATTGTTGATAATAATTTTTTACAAAAGTTTGCTGGGTTAACTATTTGCTTATAGCTGGGACCCTAACAGTTGCTACCACGGCAGGTCAGAGTTGACCTGGGAACAACGGCAATTAAGAAATGGTTCCAGGCTCCTCAAAACCTCACGGTCAGAAACCTTGCTGCCGGATGTAGTTTATCGTCAAACCCAGCGGATTTAGTTTAACTTCTTACCCAGGATGCCGATGTAGTTTCACGTCTTACCCAGGACGCGGATGTAGTTTAACGTCTTACCCAGGACGCGGATGTAGTTTAATGTCTTACCAAGGTCGCGGGTGGAGTTTCACGTCTTACTCAGGACGCTGATGTAGTTTAACGTCTTACCCGGGACGTGGATGTATCTTAACGTCTTACCCAGCACGCAACAAACTTTAGGCTGACCGCACGTCCTAATATTTACAAAAAGTCTCTAATGCAGTTTTGCCTCCCGAAGCTTATAAATGATGCAATACAATCGGCTGC